AAGTAAATTATATAAATATAATTTAATAAATAATTATTAAATAAAAAATTTATTTCTTTTTTTCTTTTCCCCTTATCTTTCCCTTTCTCCTCCCCCTGCTTACTGGGTTTAAAGGAACTAGTGCTGGTTCCTTCGAACCTAGCACTTGGGTTCAACCCAGGACGCCTGGGTTCAGAGGAACCCAGCCCCTAGGTTCGGTTCCAAATCGAACCCAGCGCTTGGGTTCGATGGAACCCAGGCACATGTTTTTTCAAACCTAGGCGCGGGTCCTTTTCCCCTTCTCATTTTCTTCTTCTTCTTTTTTTCTTCTGTTTCTTTGTTCTTCTGTTTCTTGTGTGGCTTCCACTTGCTTGAATTTCAAGATCTAATTACTATTGGTGTTGATTGAAGAGATGTTGTGTTTTTTGCATTTTCCTTTTCTTATAGATTTGGTATAAGTTTTCATACGATTGATTTTTTGAATCTTTATAGATCTGGTATAAGTTTGCAGTGTAATTGATTTTTTGAATTAGATTTATTAGCCATTATTATTGTGCGAGGAACCAGATTTGGGTTCCATTAGGGAGGAGGTTTGGGGAAAAAGGAGAGGTTTGGTGAAGAAGGAAAGGTTTGGTGATTCGGATTCCATTTTCCTTTTGGTGATCATGTGTTGATCGGTGTGGTAAAGGATGACTGGAGCAATGAGGGATGATCGGTGCTAGGTGGGTTGCAAGATGAAAAGGCATCAGAGGATAGAGAAAGATGAGAAGGGAGAAAAAGAGGGGTTGGAAGATGAAGATGGGGGTATTTAACTAATTTTAAATTTTTTATTATATAAATTAATTTAAATGACATGGACAACAAATATGACAAGTTGGGTTAAGTTATTTTTTGCGTCATTAAAGATTTAAAACAAGAATTGATTTCGTGGCAACTTAACGTGCTATCTGGCACTTCCGTTGACGGAAGGACAAAATTGGTCCCAAAAATTGAAGTTCAGGGATTTTTTTAGTTCTTTTTAAAGTTCAAGGGTAATTTAGTTCAAAAATGAAAGTTCAAGGATTGAACTGGGGATTTAAGCCCCTTTTTATAGACAAAGGGAAAAACCCAAAGAGGGCATTCTTTAAAGGGTAAAAGATTATATTTGCAAGCCTGCAACTATGATAGATTTGTGAACACTACCATTTTTCATCAAGTTGTTATATCTTGAAGCTACTTCGCAAGTCAGCCCATTGTTAAGTAAAGCAGCAGTGTTTGTGGTACAAGACTTGGGATGAATAAAGAGAGAATGCAGTACACATCATTGGATCATTTATTTCTAACTCATCATACTGGAAGCATCATCTCCCACGTAAAAGGCAACATTAATGTCAAAGCATCCAGCACCTACTTTTTGAAGAATGATCTTTGCCTAAAAAGTGAGGCTTGAACTTGGAATCTTGGATCAATCACCTTCTAACTAACCCTGTAGATGACTTGAAAAGGTAAAGAGTTTAATAAGATGCTACAAGATTCAAGACATGAACTAAGTTGGACGTTACACAGTTGTAGGAAAGCAGTCCCTAAAATTATGGGAAATGTGAGATAAGAAGATAACTTCTGGCACATGAAAGGAAAAAGGAAGTCACAAAACAAAGGGATCCAACATAGGCCTAACAAGATTTTGCTAAATCCTCTGCACAAGCAATAGAGAATAGAAAAAATGAATTTAGAGAAAAATCAAAGGCTAAACTGAATTTAGAGCACACAAAAAGCATCAATTGCAACATAAAAAAGAAAGAAAGATAAGTGAATTGTAGAAATGAAATGAAAGCGTAAGCCATTTTTTAGGCAAGTGAATGCATGCATGTTTTCAAAGGAAGATAATTTTAAGGTGGATAATAACTGGTGTATAATATACAGCTGATGAATCCAAGGAATGAATGAAGAGGTAACATTGAGGAGTGGCTTGGCTTTATTTACCTCATCAACAATTGGTTCTAGCAAGCTAGCTAGCTCTAATAGTGAACCTGCACAAAAAGGATTTGCAACCCAAATATATAAGGCAACAGAAGTCAAAGAAAAGTGTCTCTATTAAAGATTTTTATAAATTCTCATATGAAAAGCATAAAATGGTGATGCCTATTTCAATTCACACTAAGGTCTTATTACCTCTTTCTAATCTATCACAACCTTTGGGATGCCATGGGTGAGAGTCCAATAGTCTCCTTTTGCCACAAAGCATTGTCATTTTAGATGTGGGCACCCTGTGATATGTAGTTCTTCAAGCGAGGGAGGGAAGGCTTCCCTTGGCAAAGATTGTAGCTTCGGCCAGTCAAATGTCCCTAAGAAACGAAGGGAGCTTAGGTTTTGGAAGAGCCCCCCAAGTATGGATTTCAAATTTTCTTCATCACAAATCCCAAGAGAGGTTAAAGAAGAAGGCAGCCTAATATCTAGAGGGAATTTCTGCCTAATTGATAAGTTTTGAAGAGAAGTAAGGTTTTGGAGGTCCATCTTCAAAGCCCCACCTGGGATTGTTAGAATCTGAAGCGATGTGAGTTGGTACATTGTATTCGGCACACACTTGAGATTCTCACAAGCTACTAATTGAAGTTCTGTTAAGTTAGCGGGCAAACCCCCATCTAGAATGAACTCAATGTTGGGGCAATCAAACATCCATAGCTTTTGAAGAGATTTTAATTGGTACATTGTATTTGGGAGGGATTTGAAATTGTCACACCATCCTACTTTCAAATCCTTCAGATTGGGGGTGCATAATCCCAACTCTTCTGGTAAGGACTCTAAAACTTCACACTTGTTAATAGATAATTGAACGAGACTGCTAATGCATTTAAGGGTGGGTAAACTTTTCAACATTTTACAATTCCAAATAGAAATGGATTGGAGTCCTGTACAATGTTGCAACATCCTCTCTGGGAATGATTCCAACCACTCGCCACCATTATCAACTCTAAATGTCTTGAGAGAAGCTAGCAGCTGATGACAACCTTCAAAAGAATACAAACATGGAACATTCCTTATTTCCAAATGTAGAATGCTATTACTGTCACCATCCGCATCCGATAGAGACTCCAGACCTTTACAGTCTTCTATTTTCAAGTATTTAAGCTTGATGGGTAATTTGCCTTTTGGAAAAGACTTGAGAGAATCACAACCATAAATTTCCAACTTTTCTAGTTTCAACATCAACATACTAGTGTTGCTATTATTGCTTCCATCCATCCTCATCATCATTACATCAGGTAATGACTCCAAAGCTACACATTTCTCAAGCCTAAGATGTTTAAGATTAAAAGGCAAGAGGCTTTGTTCTATTTCTGCTCCCTCCCACAAACAAATAAGATAATTGCAATGTGTAATATCTAGAGTCTCAAGGGCTGTCAAGGACTGTGTAAAACTCCTAGGCAAGCAAGTTAGCTCTGTAATTGCCCTTATTCTCAAGATAGTGAGGGAGGTGAGATCAACCATGCTTTTCAAAAGCACCTCATTGCAGTTTTCAATATACAACTACTTTAGTGATGGAAGACTCATACTCATAGGCAAGCAAGTCAGTTCTGAAATTTCCTCAATTCTCAAACTAGTAAGCGAGATGAGATCACCCATACTCTTCAAAAGCATCACATTACACCTTCTAACATCGAACTCTTTAAGTGAAGAAAGGTCAATTTTGAATTACAAGCCTATGAAGACAAGGGAATTCACCTTCACTTCTAGCTAGAGAAGTCCATTCCTTCCAATTTAACAGGTCTTGAAACCCCAATTCCTCTAGTGATCGAAAAGAGCCATGCTGCCCATAGAACTCAGGACCCACAGCTTTTATTGCCTCCATGCCTTCAATAATCAATTTTTTGAGAATAGGTAGTAGGCCAAGTGATGGTAACAAAGTGAATCTCTTACAATTGCTGAGCTCCATGGATGATAAATTCAAAAATACTAATGGATCACAAACCCAATTTGGGAAACTCTTACCACCATAGTAAGAAATTTTGAGACTTTTCAAATGTGAATAAGGTTTTAACTAGTTGAAGACTTGCATTTCAAGGGTTGATTGATCTCGATTGTTATTAGGAGCAGTCCACTTGAAGAGTAACTCTTCCAAACCATGGATCTTGTCTAGATTGGCCTCCCTAGCATCTTGAACATCCAAAACATTTTGCAAATCTAGAATAGATAGTGTTCCTTGAAGTTGCAACAAGTTCTTCAAATCAGATAATCTCATCATTCCACTTGCCTTCCCCACGATCAATTTAGACAGTGTTACAAGATTTTTAAGATTAGCTATTCTTGATGGCATCTCTTTTAAAAATGATGTATAAGAGATATCAAGATGATGGAGATCAATTAGATTCCCAATTGTTTTAGGCAGCTTAGTAAGCCCTTGACAACCAGATAATAACAGTGTTTGCAAGAAGAGAAGATAACCCACTGATTCAGGTATACATTTGATATATGTACCAGACAAATCAATGTACCGAATATGTTTCAAATTTTCAAGAGAATCTGGTAGCTTGCTTATTTCATATCTACTAAGAGACAACACTCTTAAGCAATTCAAAGTTGGCAAGAAATCATGCAAGATTTTGTTAGACAAATAGAAGTAATTGCAAAAACTGATTGCTTTTAACAGCAAGAATGTTCTCAAATGCTTCCATTTATCCAAGACTATGAATCTTTTTGAGATTTCATACTAGTGTGGAGTGAATGACAAATGACGAGCCTTCTCTAATTTTTCATCACCCATGTCACGTTCAAGATTGCAATATATTGCTCCAACAACATCTACAGCTAAATCATTTATGAGGTCATGCATCACAAATCGTGATTCAACTCCACTTGATTGTTGAAAGGGTGATCTTGATAACAACTCTTGGAAATATTGATGACCAATCTCCTCTTCCATTTGCTTTTTTCCATGTGACTGTTGTTGTAATAGGCCTTCAGCCATCCATAACAGAACCAACTCCTTTCGATCAAATTCATAGTCTTTAGGGAACAAAGCATAATAAGCAAAGCATTGCTTCAAGTGAGAAGGAAGATGATTGTAGCTTAATCTCAAAGCAGGAAGAATTCCACTTTTATCTTTTAATGGACTCCATATCTCACTAGTTAATATATTTTCCCACTCATCACGACACAGCTTTCCCCGTAAGATGCCACCGAGGGTTTTTAGTGCCAATGGCAATCTTTTGCACCTCTTAACAAGCTTCTCACCAACATCTTGTAGGTTTGGGTGTGCATCAAAGTTCTCTTTCCCAAGTGCATGTTATGTAAATAATGGCAAACAAGCATCATCTTGTAATAATTCTAAATTGTAAACGCCATCATCTCCTCTCATCATTGTCCCAACATCCTTATTTCGAGTTGTGACAATTATTTTACTTCCGGGAGCTCTTGACATAAAAGGTCTCTTCAAGACATCCCATTGGCCATATTCTTTATTCCAAACATCATCTAATACAAGAAAAAACTTGCGCCCAGATAACTTCCTTTTCAATTTCTCTTGAAGCAAACCAAAATCAGAGTCACACCCTTCCCCAGTTACATGTTCAAAAATGGTTCCTATTATTTTTGGAACATTGAATACATCTATAACACAAACCCATGCCTTCAAGTCAAACCTGCCTTCCAATTTTTCATCATTATAAATGAGCCGAGCAAGAGTTGTCTTGCCTAGTCCACCCATTCCAACGATGGGAATAACAAAGTCTTGTTTGAGACTACCTCCATCTTTTAGCAACCTCTGAAGAATAACATCTTTATCACTGTCTCGACCCCACACCTTATCTTCGAGAAAAGGAGACTCAAGTAGTCTTTCAATAGCTACTTTGTGAGACTTATCCTCAGCTTTCATTGTCAAATTGATCAGGCCGAAAGTATGCATCTCCTTTTCAATACGCTACAATCTAACACTCAAATGATTCACCATGAAATTGATCTCTCGATTGGGCTTGGCGTTAGATCTAAATAAATTCTTGAGACTAGATTTGACTTTCTACCGCTTGCTAGTGGTGGCTTTAGATTCTGCAATCAATTTGAACCTCTTGGCATCAAGACAAACTCTTCTAGTATGTCCTCCATATCATAAGCCAAGTCTCTAAGATCATTAACACATGACTTCACAAATTGGTTGGCAACTTGATTTTCTTGAGCATGTTGAAGTACAGTAGTGATTATGGACAAAAGAGTCTTCCAACTCTCCATCTGAGCATGTACTTCCTCCTTTGAATTCCATAGTTGATCACTTAGATATCCAGTCAACTTTTTGTGTAGCATGCCAAATGTAGCAGATAAAAGAGAACTTCCAATAAGAGACAAGACCTCCATTGGATAAAATAGCTTTTCTGCAAGAGAGAGAGAGAGAGAAACTAATTGAAATACAAATTATACTAATCTATTCAATACCTCACATTCGTTTGACTATCATCAAATTAGTCTTTTATCCTAATGCATTGATTTAATTAGTTTCGCTTGGTGATATTGAAAACAACAAGATATGATATAAAGAAAACAATCAAAATATATACCATAGAGTTTGATTTAGATCTTCAAGGAATTGAAGAAGTAAGCTGTTAATTAGAAAGTACTAGTATCTAGATACATACCTTAATTAGCTATGCTGTAGCTGTTTTTCCTTTCTTAGCGATGCTTAAAGCTAAAAAGTTGTTGGGAGACTAATTATGCTTAATTTGATAGAATATTTAGAAATATGTGTCAAACAAATAAAATTGAATTGAAAGAGATAATAAAACAGTAGTGAGGAAAGAAAATTTAATCATCAATTTATTAATTAAAGACAAACCTTAATTAAGAATAATTAGATGCTCTAATGAATTAAAACACAATCAATAAAAAGTTTTAAAATAAAGATATATTTTAACAATAATAATTAAAACACCTAATATTTTCTCTCCGATTTGGTCAATATAATGGTATACATAGGGATTTATTCAATGTAAAAACAAAAAAAAAAAAAAAAAAAAAAAAAAAA